TGCCTGTGTCTCACCTGCGGACACGTGAAAGTTTTGGCGGGAAAACTGCTAACTCGAGAATGAGAAAAGCTAGAAAGCTGGAACTTCACGCAAATGCTCGCTACTCATATCTGATTAAAAGATTTCAAACTCAGCTTTTCTTGTGGGGTCTTTTTCGCACACCAGCAACTTCCCATTCATCGGGTCACTGAAGCCGACATCTACAACAGACATGCCACGTGGTTGCACGGTTAACTTCCTGAACTTCGGGTGCTAGCAAGTCACAAATTTCAGCTACTGTGATTCCTTGCGATCTTGCTGCAGCACAAAACAATGCTTTCCAGTTCGGGTTGAAAATGTGCCAAGGCGCAACTTGAATTTTTAGAACTGGAAACAGAAGTCGCAGCTGTTCCCCAGCGCCCTTATTTTCCCCCCTTCCAGGAATTCCTTCATATTTCTTTGCGTTTATCACATAAACACAGTCCTAGATGTTATTAGCGCATGAAAAGATTTCCATTTTTGACATGTTTGAGCCATGCCACTTCAGTGGCTTGCTCACCTCTTCTGCTTTTGTTTTATGAATATTTGCTAACTCTTCATAATTTTTCAGTATTACTTTGGCGACATTAATTTACCGCGCGATCGTTTTCTGCAGGAAGAACTTAAAAAGGACAGTGGATGTAAGTGTGTGCATTAATTTTTTTATGCGTTTTGTGCTGTGTAACAGCAGTACAAAACGCATATTGTCGCGAGGTTGTCTGTGTGTGTATTCGCAGCAACTTGTCCGCAGCTTTCAACTCGGGAACCACAGAAGCTAGGAAGCTGAAAATTCAGGGGGACGTCTCCCACCCACGTGTGACCCCGCAAATTTAAATTCATCTTCCCCGTACCCGCGGGTAACGCGTACGGCCGTGAAAGTTTTTTACGGGCAAATTAATATTTCGGAAACCACGGAGTCTGGGAGACTGAAATTTTAGAGTAATGTCCCCCTGCCTACGCTCAATCTTGCCCATTCAAATTGAGTGTTCTCGTGCTCTAGGATGCCACCTACGACCTCGTGAAAATTTTGGCGGGTAAACTATTAACTCGGGAATAACGAAAAGATGTTCACCTTTCAAGGTTCCGAATTCAGCTTTCATGCGCTGGTACGTGAAATTTTTAACTGTTTTCCAATGTTTGAACTATTTTTGCATAGACAAAAGTACAAAACGATGAAAATCATAAATAGGCAATCGTTCGATGGGCTGAATTGCACAAAACGCGTGATCGCACCAGCTAGTTTGGTGCGCGCTTCTGTCTATTGTTATTCATCCACTTAGGTGTAATATTTGGATTATCCAGCAGCGGCAAATGTAGCCAAAAATCCATGTAACTGTTTTTATTTCCGGTTTTCAGGGATCTCATTGGAAACGATGTTGAAGTTCAATCGTTTGTCGCGGATCTCCTCTGAGATCGATGTGATTGCCGAAGCGCTGAAGCATTCGAAGCTTATGGAAGTGTTCGAAGATGGCAGTAAAATACGACGCAACCCCGAGAAGCCATTACCGGATAATTCGCTCGAGTACTGGCAAATTGTGAAGCTACGCACAGTGTACATTGTAAGCTCCAGCATTCACTTTTTTATTTCACTGGCTTCAAATATTTTGTTCAAAGTTTGAAACAATTCCAGAATAGCATTGCTTTTTCAATTTTGCTTTGGTGTTTTCAGACGAGGCGCGCTGGGGGCGTGTGGGAGCATCCTAGTAACATTACGAACAGGGAATACCCCACATCGGTAGCCCGAGCAGTCTTCGTTGTTATTTTTGTTCAGAAAATGCTAAAAATTTTTTTCTGTGTCGTAATCTCGAGTCATCAGCGCAGCAGAGAACCCTTTCCAGGGTTGCTGTGATCAAAACTGCATCACCAGGAATTTTGGGCTACTGGTGACCTGTGTTTTTCACCGTTTTCTTTTTTTTTTTTTGTTTCGTATTCCTCCTTCACTTTTGGTGTCGCTGAGCTCATTGTTATTGATCCATAAGGGCTAATCTGATTATCGCATGATTATAGCATGAAAGTAATATGAAGAACGTAGAAAAGAAGGCAAGAATAGAACGAATTATATAATGTAAGAGGTGGAAATTTTGCTGGTACAGGTGAAATAAGAACGGGAGAGTTTCGGTCCATGAAGTCATATACGTCTTAGCTCAACACCGCAACTGGACCTCGTCAGTATGACGGTCGCTGTGTTCAGAGATGAGAAGGAGAAGAGGGAATGGAATGGAGAAAGAGAAAAGGAGATAGTAAAAGGCAGAATTTTTTTTTTTAGACTAGAAAAGGGTGTCGCTCAGCCACGAGTTTGTCTTTCTGTTGTTTTCAAGAGCACGTGGCTCTGAATGTATACGACGACATAACTTTTAAGGACTTGATTTTGCTGCTGCATTGGAGCTCTAAACAGTTTGGAGCGTCTCTGTTAGGAGATATTTTCATTTAATGTGTAATACAGCTCCTGTATGATGAAATTCCAATTCAAATATCTTATCGTGAAGAAGGAATAGCAATCAATTGCGCAGTACTGGTGTACGGCGAGTTGCGATTAGTCCTGATTTTAAAGCTCCAGCTATTTTATGCTTGTTGCAATCGTATAATCGATCAGGAATTGAACGAAGCAAGAAATACTATTTCAGAAAGGGTTCGAGCAGGATACGAAGCTGGATGAGATTATGAATTTTGTAAAGCAGTACGGCAAAGTGGAAAACGTTATGATGCGCCGTTTGAAAACGGGCACACGTGCATTCAAGGGTTCGGTGTTCGTCACGTTCAGAGATCAGTCAGCCGCTGAAGCCTTCGTCAAAAACGAGAATGCCCAGTTCAATGGGAACACTCTGCTGAAAATGATGCAGTAAGTTCCGGCATTGCTGCTATACTTCACCGAATAAGGCGATCGATCTCCGTCCGATGCATTTTCTAATGCATTGGGCTTTAAATATGTCTTGGGGGGAGGGGGGGGGGGGGGGGG